AGAAAAACGTTATTACTTAATAAAATGTAACAATTACTAATAAGATGTTAAAAATAAGATGTAACAAGTATTGGTGTATTACCAATAGCGAGGTCATCGTCAGCTAACACATCGTGCACTTCGTCGTAGTCATATATAGGCAAGCTACTATTTCTTAGCCAATCTTGAGTGCATATTAATGCCTCCACAATCACAACGGACAAATTAGTACGGTAGTCGGTTATTACTCGACGACCGTTACTGAATGTGGACTCGGATGCTAGTGGAAATTTGCATCCCCAAAATATCTATTAAGAAACAAATTAGTGTATAATACACGACATGAATTTATAAATTAAAAATGAAAATTAGAGTAAAAGAAGGTCGATACCACTTGTCATTCGAGCAAAGATAGGGAACTGCACCGCGTTATTTTTCCACCATGTGAGGATATCATAACCTTTGTCAAATCTGATTGGGTCCTCGTTTAAGTATCGTTGCAATTGACTTTGTGACGAAGTTGAGGGGAAACCTCCCGAGATCATATAGCTTCCAAAGAATTCGTTTTCGTCATCAAAATTAACAACTTCTTCGGGAGTTTCTTGTTGAGATGATGAGGTCATGTTTGACCTTTCCAAGTATGTCTTGAAAAACTTGTCCAATTTGCATTCGATATCAATAACCTTTGCACGTGCTTTCGATTTTATTTCATCAACGGACATCTTATTATCTTTGTTCTTGGCTTTAAGTGTCACACCCCCGAACCAGACGGCGGAAACGTCCGGGGGCTTGTGCGTGACTTCATCTTGAAATATCATTACAGTGAATATAAATGAAACATAACATCATCATTACCATGCATAATATAATACAAGTTCCATTGTTTACATCAAGTGCAATCTTTTAAATAACATGACCAAAACATTCAATGTATGATATTTGACAGTACACAAAACAAAATCCCCTATTCTTGTTGGTTCTTCTGCTTAACGGGTCCCTGAGAATACAAGTTATTTTGAAAACGTCAACATATATAATGTTGGTGAGTTCATAAGTATATTTGAGAAAATGATTTGTATAACTTTGTAATCACAAGAAAATCCTGTATTTTCTTAAAATAGTTTGGTATGTTTATGTCTGATGTCACACCCCAAAACCGGAACGGCGGAATCGTTCGGGGGTGGATGACGTCATGTTTAGTATCATGAGATATGTATATGGTAAGCAAGTAATAAACAACCATTTCATTTCGAAAGAAATTGTTTACAATGTGTGTGTTC